TTCTACAAATTTCTGGCACTACAAATGCTTCTAAGCAGATAACCTTATTCCCGTTAACAGGTTCAAGCTTTAATTCAGCATTGGTACATTTTTGACCGAACGTATTAATCCTTAACAATTCCCTTCTTAAGCCCTTGGGATTCACAAGACCAGCTGCTTTAGAAGTAACAAAGGAACGATGACTTCCCGCATCAAAGAGAACCCGCACCTTAGCCACCCTTTCACCCCTTAAAACCCCGCGTGCAGTTTGCAAGGCAACTAGGTTATCAGTTCCCACATGCAAGTTACTACTGGAACTAGTCACATGCACATTATTACTAGCGACCTGTTTAGATTCTTCGTCAGGTTCGACTGTTTTATCACGTTTATCGTCTTTTTTAGGGCTTGCATCACATAATGCAACATGATGTGCCCCATTGCACACATTACACTTATTTTTAACAGTACAATTACTGGCTCTATGGCCCTTAAATAAACAAAAAACATCTACCGTATTTACGAGCCAAACTCTTTCGTGACTTCGGATCTTTCACTCCCTCGCAATCTTCGTGATTGTGGTTCTTCAAACAGAAGGCACAGTTCTCTCGTTTCGTTTGCTAACAATGCCGCTGCAGTTCCATGATGATGTTGGCCAAATTTCTTTATACCCGAATTTCGCTCGTGTCTTTCCTGCTCTCGATCCGAATTCGTTCCCACTGCATTGTGCGCTTCGCGAATTTCGAGTTCCTTCTCAAAGGCGTCTAACATTTCTTCCATCGACCATTCTAGAAAGTTCTGCCCTCGCGTGATGGTCAAACGAAACTGTTCTGGCAACTTTTCCATGATTGTTGGAACAGCAATGGCTGAATACAAGTCTTCGTTCACTCCCAGGGCTTTCAATGCGCGGTTGTTCGCTTCGCAGCTGTCATACAACTTCCGCAATCTTAGTGTGTCTCTTTCTTTATAAACCGCCGGCAATTGCATCAGTTTATTTACGTGCGCTCGTTGTACTGCATTTTTCTTTTCGAACCGTTTCTTTAATAATTCCACCGCGTACTTGTAGTTCGCTCCCGTCAACGAGAGACCAGCGATGGTAGACTTTGCTGGCCCTTCCAAATATCCGCGCAGATAGGCGAACTTGTCAACATCCGACAATTGGTCATTGTTGTCTATCGAGCTCGAAAATCCATCCCAAAACTCTGGCCATTCACAAATCTTTCCGCCGAAATTCCGTAGTCTAAGTTTCGGAAGCTTCGCTCTTATGATTTTACCCGCACTTGATATTGAAACATGACTTTGATCAAGGTTTCCTTCGGCTGATGTGAGATTCGTTGGCGTCAACAAAGGCAGGCTTTGTCCTCCGAGTTTTCCTAGCGCGTCATCGAGTTGAAGCAACGTTCTTTCCAATTCTGCGATCGCTTCGTCTGAATCCTCGATTTCTTTGCCAAGTTGTTCGTCAGCGTCTTCGTCTTTCAATGCGCTGAGTATATCAATAACTTGTTCATCGAGCTCCTTCAACATTTTGATTTTGTCACGTAATGTGATCTGGCTTTGTCTCAGCCATACTAAGTCCTTCTCTGGGTTTGCTTTCGGTATTGCTTCAACTATCTTTGCCACAAGCTTACTTGCCGATGCTCTGTGGCCTCCTCTAACTCGCCTTTTCCTCGTCAGATCGTCCATACTCTTCGTTTTCAAACTTTACGCAAATCTTTCCACTATTGACGGCAGCGCAAATATCAAACGCTCTTTGTTCGCAGCCTCGCCAACAATTCACAAATCCAGTTCGATCGGACCACTGTTTTTTGCAGAATCTTCACTTTGATCTCCGCGCGCACTGGTTCACACACAATAACATTCAGGGGACTGTATTCTATCAATTTATTTCATTGGAAAGATTTTCTATTTACAACGCGATTTTAGACTTCCTCGTCTCGCTACTATCTGATCACAACTGAATTTACATATTAGCCTTAATCAATAATAGTACTAGAAAATACATGCATGCAGAAACCCTCGCCTTGCTGACAAAACCATTTTATTTTCCGAACGTGAAGTATTTTAAGTAGTTGTCATGGTAACACGACAATTTTTTAAGAATATTTTTACAAATGAAAAATCTCCGATTTTAATTACAAAATTATCAATTTCCTAAACATATATATGTTAGGTATGTTATTATACGTAATATAAGCTTGAATTTAAGGTAAAATTCAACCACAAACGCTTCGCAAAACGTTTTAAAATGTTCTTTTACTATAGAACTAAACTGCCTTTATCGATAAACTTTGAGTTCGAAATAAAATGATTCCAAATTCTCCCCTGCAAATAACTTTGCTTAGTATGTGTAATCAATAAAGAAACACTGAAATAATACGCTGTCTTGTTTCATATTTATACACAACGATCGGCTTTTAAAGTAATTACAGTAGGTATGTTATTATACGTAATATAAGCTTCAATTTAAGGTAAAATTCAACCACAAACGCTTCGCAAAACGTTTGGAAGTGTTCTTTTAATATAGAACTAAACTGCCTTTATCGATAAACTTTGAGTTCGAAATAAAATGATTCCAAATTCTCCCATGTAAATAACTTTGCTTAGTATAATAAAAAGTGTAATCAATAAAGAAACACTGAAATAATACGCTGTCTTGTTTCATATTTTATATACGCAACGATCGGCTTTTAAAGTAATTACAGCCGAGATTACAGTATATTAAAAGCAAACAATGCATCAATATTTAAAACAAACTTACCATCGTTAACGTCGGCACCTTTACTTCCTTCTTTTAGCAATCCTCTGGCCTTTATTTCATCAAAAATCCTTTGCAATTTACAAAATCTTGCAAAAATGAAATATATTTGCAAGAAATCATCAAATCAATTTCGCTGTCGTCAATCGTCATGCAGCCGTTATAATGCCAATTTTAAATTGGACCAATCAGTGTTGGCTATTCATTACAGTCCGCTATATTATGAGATCAGTGAGGATGACCACCCACCGAAACACGCACAGTGACCCACGCCCGCGATATTTGATGAACTTTAGACTTCGCTAATGCTTCCCTTCCCCGGGTGTAAATAGCCGGGGGGAATTAGTACCCTCGCACGGCGCTTCGCGCCGTCGGCTCGGGGATTAAATTACAAAGAATCACTGTGACGTATTTTAAGCACTACAATATACATATATTTACATTAAGTAGCAGAAGCAACTGCTGTACGGAAAACTGGCGGCACTGCACTGGGAACTTACAACATTCTTGGTCGATCGACATCAAAATCTAAGCTCAATTTCTCATTTTAGGTCGTCTGTTAACGTCATACCCAGAATTTTTGCTGATTTTACAATTTCTAGGTGTTGCCCGTTTATAATATTTGGTTCAACCATGCATTCACGTTTGGCAAACTGAATCCTCAATTCTTTGCATTTAGCTGGGTGTAGGCGTAATTTATTTTGATCAGACCAGTTCACACTCCTGTCAACAATTGGCTGTAAGGCACTGTTACCGAACCTAGGAATAACCTCAGATATTGTAGTATCGTCAGCGTATTTCCACGGCATAACATTTAAAGAGTCGCACGAAAGTCGAAGGTCATTAATCATAGCGAGAAAAAGCCACGGACCAAGTTTAGTTCCCTGTGGGACACCTGCCGGGACATGCAAAAAGTCGGAGTAACAATCAGAATCAAGTTTCACTCGTTGAAATCGGTTACGTAAAAAATCGACTATACAATTTAAAAATGTTGGTTTAATAACATATTTATGAAGCTTCGCAACCAAAAGATTATTATCAACCAAATCAAACGCTTTCCTGTAATCGAATAAAATTACCCTAACGGCGGAATCTGTTCCATCAGTAGCAGCCAACCATTTATGAAACATTAATTAATATCAGGGCAAACTTTGTACTTGATCCCGGAATAAAACCAAATTGTTTAGGATCGATGATATTTAAAAGCTTAGGTTTTAGGTCATGTTGAATGATAAAATCTTCGGCAATTTTTGATAAGGTTGACGTCAAAGATATCGGTCTCAAATCTTTGTTAAAATCCTCAATATCTTGAGCCTTGGGAAGTGGTGCTATATCTACCATTTTCCATATATTAGGAACTTTGCATTCAAGAAATGAGGAGTTGAGAATATCCGTAACAGCTGGTGCGATTATATCAGCATATATCTTCAGCAACCGAGCCGGTAGACCATCCGGACCACCTGCCTTAGACTTGTCAATCCCCCGAAGTTTCTCTGTTACTGACTCCACAGTAACTTGGATACATTCGTCACCTTCATAGGGAAAACACAAGTCATCTGGTAATGCTGAATAGTTATTCATTATACTGATAAATGTCTCATTAATTTTATTTGCCAACTCTTGATCATTATCATCACAATTTATTCTTAAAATCGACCGGAGATTTTTTCGTTCAGTTTTCAAGCCGCCAGAGAGTTCCCGCACTTTTGCATTATAGTAGAGTTTGCGGCAGCGTTTCCTTTCCCTATTTACTTTATTCCGTAATAGTCTAAAGAGAACCGTTTTCCCAGTAGTGAAAGCTTTCTGTCTTGTAGAATCAAACGTTTTAACCCTTGCGTCATCCATGGACAGTCATTAGCATGTACTTTGATCCTGCGTTCCGGCATGATTGTATTTAGTCCATAATTTATCACTTCTGTGACAAACGGTGGGAAAAAAGACAGCGAATTCGGCCACGTTCAAATAACTTTCCGTCGTTAATTTGGAATATCACGAAACTTTCTCACAGGATAGTGTTTTGCTCTTTATTATCTCTTATATAACTAACGTACAATGTCTAAATCGAATGACTCCTAGATGTTCGTAAATGTTGTTTATATATCGTATCTCCGCTGACGCACCACACCGTGGGCGCTACCGGTACAGGTAGCCCGTACATATCGTAACATCTTCCCTTCCAAAAATAATGATCAAACTGTCTAACATTAAGTTTAAAAAATATATATATAAGTAATTAAATGTCAACAGTAATTCATTGTATATCCTGAACCTAAAGGTTGAGTCTCACTGGCGGTTTGCTTATCCGTCCGCTCCTTGTTATCTTTACGGGTTGCGCTATTTCTGGAGTTGGTAGGCTGACTGGTACAGGTGGCTCCTCTGTGGTAGTAGGTTGCTGCAATGGCTGCACGGGGACCAAATCCGACTGAATGACTGATGGCACTGCCAAGGGTGAGGTTTCCGGTGGAGTTTCAGCAGTACTATCCCTTGCGCTACATAGGAATTTCCGATTTCTGCGAAATACGGAGCCATCAACATCGACCAAATACGATCTTGGGGCAACTTTGCCAAGGCAAATCCCTCTCCTCCATTTGTTCCTATCATCCTTGGGTAGGCTGGTCATTCTGATTGGTTGACCAATTTTTAAATCTGGTAGCTCTTTTGAACCTGGATCGAAATGTTTTTTAGCTTTTCTGCGCTTCAACGTAAGCCTCGTCTGAACGTCTTGTTGGATCTCAGGCTCCAGCAGGTGTGCTGCAAGTGGCAGTGTTGTTTTGGTTCTCTTTGACATCAGCCTTTGTACTGGACTACTGTCCATACCCTCTGTCGGTGTATTCCTATAATCCAGGAAGCTCATCCACATATCTCGTCCAGTTCTTTGTGCCTTCTTCTGCAGGGTTTTCGCAGATTTCGCTGCTGCCTCTACAAGCCCGTTGGATTGCTTGTGGTATGGAGAGGATGAAAAATGCTCGAACTGCCAATGATCGGCAAAAGATGCATATTCTGTGCAGTCGAATTGGGGGGCATTATCACTGTAAACTCGATCAGGTATGCCATAGCGGGCAAGGTGCTGCTTAGTCTTATTGATAACGTCGGCTGCCGTAGTTTGAGATAGTTCATCAACTTCCCAGAATCCACTGTGAGCATCAACTGTTATAAGAAAGTCTTTTCCGTCTAGACTGTAAAGATCCTGTGCAATGACACTCCATGGGCGCTTTGGGAGCTCTGGAGTCATCAGGGGTTCTTTGGCTTGTTCTGGCGCAAAATCTGCACAAAGACTATAACTGCTCACCAGATCTTTAACTTGTTGGCTCATGCCGGGCCAAAAAAGAGCATCTCTTGCACGACGAAGACACGCTTGCTCCCCTTGATGACTAGCATGTATACGAGACAGCAGCTTCTTGCGGAGAACAGTGGGGACGATGACCCTATCTCCCTTGTACAACACCCCGTTATAGATACTTATTTCATCACGGAACGTCCAATACTCAGCAACGCTCGGGTCTGCCTCCGGTTTGGTTTCAGGCCATCCCCGCAACACAATCTCTTTAAGGCGCTGTAACTTTGCGTCTGCCTCTGTTTCACGCTGGATACTCCTCAGACCGTCATCCGATACTCTTATAAATTCAGACGCATTTATTTGTTCCACATCCACACGGCAAACATCTTCTTTCTCCGGCCTCAGACAGTTCCCAGGAGGACCGACATCGGGTAAAGGAGCCTAGAAAGCGTGTCAGCAATAAACATCTCAGTTCCTTTTTTATAGCGAACTTTAAGATTATACTTCTGAAGACGGAGTAACATGCCTTGAAGACGCTTTGGAGCTGCTGTCAAGGGCTTCCCAAAAATGGCTTCTAGGGGCTTGTGGTCGCTCTGTACATCCACTGACTTTCTTCCATAGATGTATTGATTAAATCTATCACACGAAAAGACTATTGCTAAACACTCCTTTTCTATCTGGGCGTAACCTCTTTCTGTTGGCGTTAATGTCCTGGACGCAAATGCCACAGGTTGTCCATCTTGAAGCAGAGCAGCTCCAAGACCAGTCTCACTGCTGTCACACTGAATTGACACTGGCTTGCTAATATCATAATAGCATAGAACTGGATGGTTTGCAACCAGTTTCTTGATACGATCGAAGGCATCTTGATGGTGCTTTTCCCAAACCCATTCAGCATCTTTGTCGGTTAGTCGTCTTAGATGTTCACTCTCGTCTGCGAGATGTGGCACAAATTTGGCGAGGTAATTGACAAAGCCTAGGAATCTTTGCACAACCTTCACCTTCTCTGCCCTGTTACGTCCATCAGGTCGTGGCATGTCTTGCACCGCACGCACCTTTTCAGGATCAGGCTTTGCACCATCGGGAGTAAGCAGGTGGCCAATATAGGGAACTTCATTTAATCTAAGCTTCAGCTTCTTGGGATTCAGTTTTAAGTTTACTTCCCTTGCTCTCTGCAGCAATGCTACGAGATTTCTATCATGATCTCGAAGCGCTTCCTCTTGTGTCTCCCCTTGACCTGTGATCAGGATGTCGTCTGCGATTACGTGGATGCCAGGGAGACCTTCAAGCACCTCATGTTGTCGCCTCTGGTATTCTTCGGGAGCAGTGGCAATCCCAAATGGCATTCTTAACCAACGGTACCTGCCAAACGGGGTCCAGAATGTCGTGAGGTAGCTACTTGTTTCATCCAGTTTGACTTGCCAGAAGCCATTCTTCGCGTCTGCAACACTAGAAACTTTGGCTTTCGCAAGCTCCGGCAGGATTTCTTCTATCGTCGGCATCGGGTAGTGGGACCGCTTCAAAGCTTTGTTTAAGTCCTTTGGATCGATACACAGTCGAAGCTTGGATCCCTTCCGCACAATAACTTGACTGCTAATCCATTCAGTCGGCTCTGTAACTTTCTTGAGAACCTCCATTTTTTCTAATGTTTCAATATGTGCTTTTAGCTCGGCTTTCAATGGTATTGCAATTCGTCTGGGGATATGCTTAACAGGTTGAGCATCAGGATCTATCTCTAGGTGGTACTCACCAGGCAAGCAGCCAAGTCCCTCAAACACATCTTTATATTCCATGAAAATATCTGATGGAGCTGTTATCGGAGAGGTATTTATGCTATTAGCTATATGCACAGTGATAAGTCCCATGCTTGTACATGTCTCTCCAGACAGCAATGGCTTCTGCTCGCCCTTGATAATCTTGAAGTTAAGCCTGCGACTTTCTCCATTGTAGATGCAATTGAGGTCACACTCTCCGAGGGCTGGTACACAACTCCCATTGTATAATTTTAATTTGGTGTTAGTTGGCTGCATGGTTGGGCTTCCACTCTGCTTGATTTCACATAAGGTATTGAAGGACATGACATTACAGGTGGCTCCTGTGTCAAGCTGGCATTGGATTTGACTTTCACCACCGTCCTTATCCCAAAAAGAAAGGGATACAAAATAACGCTTTCTTTCTACATGTCTTATTGCGTCAACAGTTTCGACATAAAAGGCATACTCGTCATCTGATGATTCTTCATTCATAAGGTTAACTCCTTGCTTCTGCATGCAAACTGATTGGAAATGATTTGCCTTTCCACACTTTCGGCACGACTTGCCAAAAGGCTGGACACTTATGTTTGTCCCGTTCATGAGCTCCACCACAATACTTGCATTTGCCACCTTGTTTAAGTTGGTTCCCGCTCTCTTTTCTTTGTCGATCTACTGATTTTGAAACATTCTGTTTCTTTGCATCTTGTCTCTGAGCATAATTGACAGGCTCTTGATTGTCTTCTCTCTCTATTTTCTTCAATTGTTCACTTGTGGTCTCACTTATACGAAGGGACTCTATAGCTTTCTTGAGAGTGCAATCTTTCTCGCGGAAAAGCCTGGTCCTGGCCGCACTGTCCCGACAGCCAAGAACTAGACGGTCTCTCACCATCTCATCTTCTAGTGTTCCAAAGTTACATGGCTCAGCTAATTGCCTGAGCTTTATAAGAAACTGGTCAATAGTTTCATGTACTTGCTGTTCAGTGTTATGGAAAATATATCTCTCATACAGAATATTTCGTACTGGTACGGTCTTGCAGCTTTGCAAGAATAATAGCTGGATCTTTCATATCGGCCTCTGATAATTGAAGTCTTTTAAGTATTTTCTTGCACTCAGTTCCCATTAGACTTTTCAACGTGGCCACTTGAACTTTCTTGTCTTTCTGATCTAAGCCTGTTGCTATTAAATAATCTTCATATGCTTCATGAAAACTCTTCCAGTTGTTTGCGACATCGCCATTGCAATTCATTGGTTCTGGTGCTGGAATCTGGTACGTTGCCATGCTTTTTTCTTTTTTTTTTTTTTTTTCCGAATTCAGAAAATCCAATATGGCGGCCTACTGGGTCACGTAAATCTTCGAAATATTTGCACTTTTAACATTCGTGTTGCGATATTTTTTCAATAAAATATATCCACACGGCTTCAGTTAAAAGATCCCACACCTGACACCATGTTTTGCTCTTTATTATCTCTTATATAACTAACGTACAATGTCTAAATCGAATGACCCCTAGATGTTCGTAAATGTTGTTTATATATCGTATCTCCGCTGACGCACCACACCGTGGGCGCTACCGGTACAGGTAGCCCGTACATATCGTAACAAAATGAGGACTGGACTGGATTTCAAGTCCGCCCAATTTGATCTATAGTGCGAGGCGAAGCCGAGAAGTCCGAATTGGCGGATTTGAAATCTCATATAAATCATTATAAATCACTACTTACAGTTGATTTCACGAAACTTTGGCCACGCCAATTGCGAAGTTGGTTGGGAATTTGGGAACTACAAACACGAGATCATCAAGATGATTGGAAACCGGCCAATCAAATTCGGAAGTTTCGCATCAAATTATCGAAATTCGTTACGAAATTCCGAACCAAGTTCGCAAGCAAGTTCGCAAATTGCAAACGATTTTGACGGTAAATTTTAAAAACTAAACTTATTGTATTAAACTTATTATAATTTTAAACCTGAAATTATTATTATTATGATATTATTTATTATTAAATGAATAAGTTTAATACAATAAGTTTAGTTTTTAAAATTTACCGTCAAAATCGTTTGCAATTCGCGAACTTGCTTGCGAACTTAGTTCGGAATTTCATAACGAATTTCGATAATTTCATGCGAAACTTTCGAATTTGATTCGCCGGTTTCCAATAAACTTGATAATCTCGTGTGATCTCGGCCGGACGTGGAGATAAAAACCAGTTTTTTCCAGCTGTGCAATCGAAAAAGACGTGAAAGTTAAAATGATATAAGTGAGTGTTAGGGTTTGGGCTGTTTCGAATCTGACGTTCTACTGAATTTCAAGGTCACTGTAGCGGAAACGTGAATGTACGCATCTCTGAAAATTGTATTTTTAGAATCTACGGTTTATAGGCTTTCTGTCGATGCCTTACTCGTGTATCAAAAGACAGCCCATGAAGATACAAAGCAGGTTATTTCACGTGCATAATAGAAAAAGACGTGAAAGTTAATATTATGCGGTTTCGAACCTTGCGTTCTATTGAATTTCAAGCCTTCTGCATCAGCAAATAGAATTTATCACGGTCTGAAAATTGTATTTTTAGCATCTACGGTTCATAGGCTTTCTCCAGATGCCTTACTCGTGTATCAAAAGACAGTCCATGAAGATACAAAGCAGGTAATTCCAGGTCCATAAACGAAAAAGACGTGAAAGTTAATATTATGCGGTTTCGAACCTTGCGTTCTATTGAATTTCAAGGCCTCTGCAGCAGAAACTAGAATTTATCACGGTCTGAAAATTGTATTTTTAGAATCTAGACTAGACAGTTCATAAAGGTAAAAAGCAGGTTATTCCAGGTGCATAATCGAAAAAGACATGAATGTTAATATTATGCGGTTTCGAACCCGATGTTCTATCGAATTTCAAGGCTCTTGTGGCAGAAACTTGAATTTGGGCTAGCCCGACAGTTGTATTTCTGAAATCTACGATCCACAAGCTTTCTGTCGATGCCTCATTCGTGCATCAATAGGCCGGAGGCGGCGATAACAAGCAGTTTTTTCCAGCTGTGTAATCGAAAAAAACGTGAAAGTTAGCATTATATAAGGGAGGGTTAGGGTTTGGGCTGTTTCGAATCTGATGTGCCATTGAATTTCAAGGTCCCTGAGGCCGAAACGTGAATATACGCCGGTCTGAAAATTATATTTTTAGAATCTACGTTCCATAGGCTTTCTGTCGATGCCTTACTCGTGTATCAAAAGACAGTCCATGAAGATACAAAGCAGGTTATTCCAGGTGCATAAACGAAAAAGACGTGAAAGTTAATATTACGCGGTTTCGAGCTTTGCGTTCTATTGAATTTCAAGGCCTCTGCAGCAGAAACTGGTACTCATCACGGTCTGAAAATGGTATTTTTAGAATCTACGGTCCATAAGCTTTCTATCGATGCCTTATTCGTGTATCACTAGACTGTCCATGAAAGTAAAAAGCAGGTTATTCCAAGTGCATAGTCGAAAAAGACGTGAATGTTAATATTATATGCGGTTTCGAACCTGATGTTCTATCGATTTCAAGGCCCTTGTAGCAGAGACTTGAATTTGAGCTAGCTTGAAAGTTATATTTCTGAAATCTACGATCCATAAGCTTTCTGTCTATGCCTCATTCGTGCATCACTAGGACGGAGGTGGAGATAAAAAGCAATTTTTTCCAGCTGTGTAATCGAAAAAAACCCCGTGAAAGTTAGTATTATATAAGGGAGGGTTAGGGTTTGCGCTGTTTCGAATCTGGTGTTCTATTGAATTTCAAGGTTCCTGTAGCGGAAACGTGAATTTACGCCGGCCTGAAAATTGTATTTTTAGAATGTGCGGTCCATAGTCCTTTTATCGATGCCTTACTCGCGTATCAAAAGACAGTTCATGAAGACAAAAAGCAGGTTATTCCAGGTGCATAATTGAAAAAGACGTGAAAGTTAATATTATGCGGTTTCGAACCTGATAATCTATCGAGTTTCAAGGCCCTTGTAGCAGAGACGTGAATTTGGGCCAGCCTCAAAATTATATTTCTGAAATCTACGATCCATAATGGTTCTGCCGATGCCTCATTCGTGCGCCATTAAGCCGGACGTGGAGATAAAAAACAGTCTTTTCCAGCTGTGTAATCGAAAAAGTCGATAAAGTTAGTATTATATAAGTGTGGGTTAGGGTTTGGGCTGTTTCGAATCTGATGTTCTATTGAATTTCAATGTTCCTGTAGCGGAAACGTGAATTTCTCACGCTCTGAAAATTGCGTTTTTGGAGTATACGGTCCATAAGTTTCTATCGATGCCTTACTCGTGTATCAAAAGACAGTCGTTGAAGATAAAAAGCAGGTTATTCCAGGTGCATAAACGAAACAGACGTGAAAATTAATATTATGCGGTTTCGAACCTTGCATTCTATTGATTTTCAAGGTCTCTGCAGCAGAAACTGGAACTTGTCACGGTCTGAAAATTATATTTTTAGAATCTACGGTCCACAATCTTTCTATCGATGCCTTGCTCGTGTATCAAAAGACATTCGTTGAAGATAAAAAGCAGGTTATTCCAGGTGCATAATCGAAAAAGACGTGAAAGTTAATATTATATGCGGTTTCCAACCTGATGTTCTATTGATTTCAAGGCCCTTGTGGCAGAGACTTTAATTTGGGCCAGCCTGAAAATTATATTTCTGAAATCTACGATCCATAAGCTTTCTGTCGATGCCTCATTCGTGCATCACTAGGCCGGACGTGGAGATAAAAAGCAGTTTTTTCCAGCCGTGTAATTGAAAAAGACGATAAAGTTAGTATTATATGAGTGAGGGTTAGGGTTTGGGCTGTTTCGAATCTGATGTTCTATTGAATTTCATGGTCCCTGTAGCGGAAACGTAAATTTTTCACTGTCTGAAATTTGTATTTTTAAGATCTACGGTCCATAAGCTTTCTATCGATGCTTTACTCCTGTATCAAAATACAGTTCATCAAGATAAAAAGCAGGTTATTCCAGGTGCATAATCGAAAAAGACGTGAAAGTTAATATTATGCGGTTTCGAACCTGATGTTCTATCGAATTTCAAGGCCTTTGTAGCAGAGACTTGATTTTGGGCCAGCATGAAAATTATATTTCTGAAATCTACGATCCATAAGCTTTCTGTCGATGCCTCACTCGTGCACCACTAGGCCGGACGTGGCGATAAAAAGCAGTCTTTTCCAGCTGTTTATTCGAAAAAGACGATAAAGTTAGTATTATATAAGTGGGGGTTAGGGTTTTGGCTGTTTCGAATTTGATGTTCTATTGAATTTCAGTGTCCCTGTAGCAGAAACGTGAATTTCTCACGCTCTGAAAATTGCATTTGTGGAATCTACGGTCCATAAGCTTTCTATCGATGCCTTATTCGTGTATCAAAAGACAGTCGTTGAAGATAAAAAGCAGGTTATTCCAGGTGCACAATCGAAAAAGACGTGAAAATTAATATTATGTGGTTTCGAACCTTGCGTTCTATTGATTTTCAAGGCCTCTGCAGCAGAAACTGGAATTTGTCACGGTCCGAAAATTGTATTTTTAGAATCTACGGTCCATAAGCTTTCTATAGATGCCTTACTGGTGTATCAAAAGACAGTCTATGAGGAAACAAAGCAGGTTATTCCAGGTGCATAATCGAAAAAGACGTGAAAGTTAATATTATGCGGTTTCGAACCTGATGTTCTATCGAATTTCAAGGCCTTTTGTTGCAGAGACTTGAATTTGGGCTAGCCTGGAAATTATATTTCTGAAATCTACGATCCATAGTCTTCCTTTCGATGCCTCATTCGTGCACCACTGGACCGGACGTGGAGATAAAAAGCAGTCTTTTCCAGCTGTGTAATCAAAAAAGACGATAAAGTTAGTATTATATAAGTGGGAGTTAGGGTTTGGGCTGTTTCGAATCTGATGTTCCATTGAATTTCAAGGTCCCTGTAGCGAAAACGTGAATTTGTCACGGTCGGCAATTTGTATTTTTAGGATCTACGGTCCATAAGCTTTCTATCGATGCTTTACTTGCGTATCAAAAGACAGTTCATGAAGACAAAAAGCAGCTTATTCCAGGTGCATAATCGAAAAAGACGTGAAAGTTAATATTATGCGGTTTCGAACCTTGCGTTCTATTGGTTTCAAGGCCTCTGCAGCAGAAACTGGAATTTGTCGTGGTCTGAGAATTGTATTTTTAGAATCTACTGTCCACAAGCTTTCTATCGATGCCTTACTCGTGTATCAAAAGGCAGTTCTTGAATATAAAAAGCAGGTTATTCCAGGTGCATAATCGAAAAAGACGTGAAAGTTAATATTATGCGGTTTCGAACCTTGCGTTCTATTGATTTTCAAGGCCTCTGCAGCAGAAACTGGAATTTGTCACGGTCTGAAAATTGTATTTTTAGAATCTACGGTCCATAATCTTTCTATCGATGCCTTACTGGTGTATCAAAAGACAGTCTATGAGGAAACAAAGCAGGTTATTCCAGGTGCATAATCGAAAAAGACGTGAAAGTTAATATTATGCGGTTTCGAACCTGATGTTCTATCGAATTTCAAGGCCCTTTGTTGCAGAGACTTGAATTTGGGCTAGCCTGGAAATTATATTTCTGAAATCTACGATCCATAGTCTTCCTTTCGATGCCTCATTCGTGCACCACTGGACCGGACGTGGAGATAAAAAGCAGTCTTTTCCAGCTGTGTAATCAAAAAAGACGATAAAGTTAGTATTATATAAGTGGGGGTTAGGGTTTGGGCTGTTTCGAATCTGATGTTCCATTGAATTTCAAGGTCCCTGTAGCGAAAACGTGAATTTGTCACGGTCGGCAATTTGTATTTTTAGGATCTACGGTCCATAAGCTTTCTATCGATGCTTTACTCGCGTATCAAAAGACAGTTCATGAAGACAAAAAGCAGCTTATTCCAGGTGCATAATCGAAAAAGACGTGAAAGTTAATATTATGCGGTTTCGAACCTTGCGTTCTATTGGTTTCAAGGCCTCTGCAGCAGAAACTGGAATTTGTCGTGGTCTGAGAATTGTATTTTTAGAATCTACTGTCCACAAGCTTTCTATCGATGCCTTACTCGTGTATCAAAAGGCAGTTCTTGAATATAAAAAGCAGGTTATTCCAGGTGCATAATCGAAAAAGACGTGAAAGTTAATATTATGCGGTTTCGAACCTTGCGTTCTATTGATTTTCAAGGCCTCTGCAGCAGAAACTGGAATTTGTCACGGTCTGAAAATTGTATTTTTAGAATCTACGGTCCATAATCTTTCTATCGATGCCTTACTGGTGTATCAAAAGACAGTCTATGAGGAAACAAAGCAGGTTATTCCAGGTGCATAATCGAAAAAGACGTGAAAGTTAATATTATATGCGGTTTCCGACCTGATGTTCTATCGAATTTCAAGGCCCTTGTAACAGAGACTTGAATTTGGGCTAGCCTGACAGTTGTATTTCTGGAATCTACGATCCATAAACTTTCTGTCGATGCCTCATTCGTGCATCTCTAGGCCGGACATGGAGATAAAAAGCAGTTTTTTCCAGCTGTGTAATCGAAAAAGACGATAAAGTTTGAATTTTATAAGTGAGGGTTAGGGTTTGGGCTGTCTCGAATCTGATGTTCTATTGAATTTCAAGGTCCCTGTAGCGGAGACCTGAATTTGTCACGGTCGGAAAATTGTATTTTTAGAATCTACGGTCCATAAGCTTTCTGTCGATGCCTTACTCGTGTATCAAAAGACAGTTTATCAAGATAAAAAGCAGATTATTCCAGGTGCATAATCGAAAAAGACGTGAAAGTTAATATTATGCGGTTTCGAACCTTGCGTTCTATTGATTTTCAAGGCCTCTGCAGCAGAAACTGGAATTTGTCACGGTCTGAAAATTGTATTTTTAGAATCTACGGTCCATAATCTTTCTATCGCTGCCTTACTGGTGTATCAAAAGACAGTCTATGAGGAAACAAAGCAGGTTATTCCAGGTGCATAATCGAAAAAGACGTGAAAGTTAATATTATATGCGGTTTCCGACCTGATGTTCTATCGAATTTCAAGGCCCTTGTAACAGAGACTTGAATTTGGGCTAGCCTGACAGTTGTATTTCTGGAATCTACGATCCATAAACTTTCTGTCGATGCCTCATTCGTGCATCTCTAGGCCGGACATGGAGATAAAAAGCAGTTTTTTCCAGCTGTGTAATCGAAAAAGACGATAAAGTTAGAATTTTATAAGTGAGGGTTAGGGTTTGGGCTGTCTCGAATCTGATGTTCTATTGAATTTCGAGATCCCTGTAGCGGAGACCTGAATTTGTCACGGTCGGAAAATTGTATTTTTAGAATCTACGGTGCATAAGCTTTCTATCGAAGCCTTACTCGTGTATCAAAAGACTGTCCTTGAAGATAAAAAGCATGTTATTCCAGGTGCATAATCGAAAAAGACGTGAAAGTTTGAATGCGACACAACCAGGAATCGAACCTAGCTTCTCAAACGTGCAACGCTTTGTCCTTACCATTAGACCACCTCGCCAACACTTGGTTTCACTCCTTTTTTACTCTACTTAACTCTTTCTCGTCTTGGGTGGAATTAATTAACGACGCCTGACATTAAAAAGGTTTTTGACTACAGCAGGAATCGATCCTGGCGTCGCACACTTGCAACACTTCGTCTTTACCACTAGACCATCTCGCCTACACTTGTTTTAACTCCTTTTTTATTCTACTTAACTCTTTCTCGTCTCGGATGGAATTAATAAACAACGATGCCTGACATTAAAATGCTTTCGGCACAACCAGGAATCGATCCTGGCTTCACGCGCTTGCAACACGTCGTCTTTACCACTAGACTATCTCGCCTACACTTGCTTTAATTCCTTTTTTATTCTACTTAACTCTTTCTCGTCTGGGATGGAATTAATAAACAACGATGCCTGACATTAAAATGCTTTCGGCACAACCAGGAATCGTTCCTGGCTTTACGCACTTGCAACACTTCGTCCTTACCACTAGACCATCTCGCCTACAGTTACTGCAACACTTTTTTTATTCTACTTAACTCTTTCTCGTCTCGGCTGGAATTAATAAACAACGATGCCTGACATTAAAACGCTTTCGGCACAACCAGGAATCGATCCTAGCTTCACGCACTTGCAACACTTCGTCCTTACCACTAGACCATCTCGCCTACAGTTACTGCAAAACTTTTTTTATTCTACTTAACTCTTTCTCGTCTCGGCTGGAATTAATAAACAACGATGCCTGACATTAAAACGCTTTCGGCACAACCAGGAATCAATCCTGGCTTCACGCACTTGCAACACTTCGTCCTTACCACTAGACCATCTCGCCTACACTTGCTTTATAACTCCTTTTTTATTCTACTTAACTCTTTCTCGTCTCGGTTGGAATTAATAAACAACGATGCCTGACATTAAAATGCTTTCGGCACAACCAGGAATCGATCCTGGCTTCACGCACTTGCAACACTTCTTCCTTACCACTAGACCATCTCGCCTAAACTTGCTATAACTCCTTTTTTATTCTACTTAACTCTTTCTCGTCTCGGGTGGAATTAATTAACAACAATGCCTGACATTAAAAGGCTTTTTGACTACAGCAGGAATCGATCCTGACTTAAGACAATTGCAACACTTCGTCCTTATCACTAGTCCATCTCGTCCACACTTGCTTTAACTTCTTTTATATTCTACTTAACTCTTTCTCGTCTGTGGTGGAATTAATGAAAATGGTTTCCACTACAGCAGGGATCGATCCGTACTTCTTCCTCATGTAACACCAGGAGACTACCACTCGACTAGCATATCTATTCTGTGGTATTAAACTATACCTATATCTACATAATCCCTCATCACCAAATTTTATTTTAAAAAATTAAGTCGCCAAAAATTCAGGACCTGACCCTTTACTTTTTTGCACACAAATGTAGCTCCACTTTAAATGTCAAAAAATGGACGAACTTTTCTTTTTCCCCATTTCCCCTCTTTTTCAATTTTTATGCCAATCTTTGCATCATTTTTCAAATCATAAAACTGTACTCTTACGAAAACGTAAAATGCTAACATTTACTTTGCTTTGCCTATCTTTCAAAAAGCGGTATAAAATGTAAGGGTCAGTGGCGGCGTTAGGGTGTGGAAAGGGGGAAGGGGAAAAGGGGGAAGGGG